ATTTGTAATTATTTTTGAAACCTGTTTATAGAGCCAAACAGAACTATACAAACATTGTGGTGTCATTGCTCATTTTCAAAATATAAAAATATTTTTTTTATAGTTATAATACCATACTTTCATGAATATAAAGCAGGTGATGCTTGTCCATTAGATTGTACCCAGGGACGGATATTATTATTAAGAGGAAGCTGCCGTTGAGCATTAAAGGCTCAGATTTATTCGTCACTCATATTCATGACATTACCTTCTGGTGCTAAAATTTAATCACACAGCCCAGCACAACTTTCATAATTCATTAAAGTGCAACGAGTAACACATTACATAATAATATGTGAGGAAGTGGGGACTCATTTAAGATAAAATGTCTTTATTTTACTTATTTAAGTTGCCATCATCAAGTTGTCACCTTGCAACTCGGGATTAGTTTTAAGGTTCCACAGTTTTTGGGTGAGAACCAGCAGAGCTCATCAAAATGATAATTTCTCATTTCTGCAGCTCCCCCTTCACGTTAACACTTTCACTACCGTCTCGTTTTGTAGGTCTATACCTTCTGTAACCTATGCATTTAAGCTATCTGCTGCAATTACATTGAAAGGTTTTTTCAAAAGAAGTGGGTCATCAGATCAGCCAGGGCACCTAGAATCAGCTCTGAGAGGGCAACTGATGCATAACGTTGGCCTGTAAGAACAGTATGTTCACTATGACACCATTCTGTGGTGGAAGTTTGTTTTTGAAACTTTTTAATATTTGTGCTTATGGCCAAAAGTCTGTCTTTTTCTAAATTTGCTTGTTATAAAGTATTGATGACAAAATGTAATTCCTGATGTTACCATGGATGGCATGTGGCAATTTTGGATTCAAAATGAAAAGCTATATAAAACAATAAGAAATGGAAATTATGAATAAAAACCGTAACACATAAACAGAATAGTCTCAGCTGAAACCACTAATTTGAGATTATATAATCTATCACCATGAGTGAGCAAACACCAAAATGCTTGTTGGGTTTTCCAATATCCTAAAATAACCCTCTTAAGGCTCTTACCTCATAAATCCAGCGCACCAAACCATAATATTAGAGCGAAAGCAACACAGCAGCACAACATTCAAAATATCAGTTTTAACATCACATCCCCTTTTATTAAATAGTCTGATTGTATGACCATCATTTGTTATGTTTGGTAGAATTTTTTGTCATGACCATAATGACAATGAGGTGACCTCACTTTTCCTTTTTTAAAACATGAAATCCAATATATTGACAGGAAATATTGAAAATTCGTTTTTGTAACTTTTAAACATTTAGAAAATATGATTAGACAAAAACTCAGCTAAGAAAAGCCAGTTACAGCCAAACAGAAACATTTCAATGATTCGATAAAAATGACTTGAATGATAATAAGATGACAAAGAAACAATATATGTCGAAGTCAGGTCAGGTGATCTGGTCCACAGCCAGCATAGAGTACTATAAGCTTTGGTTTGTATGTCTTAACAATAATTGTTGTCTGATAAAGTTGTAGCGGACTATAAGCTGACACAGCACAGTTATTATTGATATTGAGTTTGACGAATGTAGAAATATATAAACAGTTTGTTTGCACGGATGTGATGCAGCTGACGATCTGCTCACCACTCCATGGCAAACAGGGAGGAATATTTGATAGAAGAAAGACACACCTATTCTTGTTGACAGTTAATCATTTTAAAATCTCCTTAGAGGCAAATTGTGCACTTCATATTCTCTTTACATTTACTTTTTCACACTATAATGCAGCTCATCATATACAAACTTGTCTGATCGGTAACTTTGCCCGTTATGGGACTGTGTGATGAAACACTGAAAAAGAAAAGATCTATTTATGAATTTCAACAAAAACAGCACAATAAATTGAATTTAATTTGAAGAGATCCACTGTGTGTACGTTTTTGATATCTTACAGACATGTGGCACCAAAAGAAACTGTTAAAGGTTGACTGTTTATAGCTTAAGACATTGCATTTTTAATTACACATGGAAAGTGGGAATTGGTTCAGTTAGTTTCACTTTTGCAGTAATTCCATTCATAATGTATGAAGTGTGTCATGTGAGTTCTTGCACCAGGAGGACTGAGAATCTCCGCAGGGATACATGAAACTACATCATCATCATAATTTCTTCTTCAAAACTCTGAATTGATTGAATGATCCTTAATGATGTGGTGTTGTTATTGTTAATGTGTGGCATGAAAATCTAGTTTTTTATTTTATGTACTTATTTTCTATTCACCAAGGCTGAGGCTTTCAGTGTTTCTCATGTCTCACCATGTCTAAAAGCACTCGAAGAATGTGCCATTAGATAGAAGTTATTGTAGCCTACGTGTTGTCACCTTCGTCATCATCTGTTGAGTCCAGGTGGACCAAACTGCTGCGAAAAAACCTGGGAAGTTTTACTTTATCTTTTATTTTTCAAATGACAAAAAACAAAACAATATTTGAATACTACTCTAAGTCAATAACTGCTTCATTATTATTTGTTTATAGTTTGCAGACTCAAACCACAATTACTATAATCACCGGTATGTATTTTAAATACAAAAATAACTAAGACCACTTAAATGTCCCTTTCTCACCAATGAGAAAGAGTTGAAACATTCAGCAAGTCCTTTATTTGAACCTTTGCTGTCTCGTACACCTGCTGTCATAGTGGGATGATGGACAAGGAGCAGCTGGTGAATCAATACCTTGTCCATGAAAACATCAGTGGTAGCTGATCTTAACACATGTTGAATTATTTCTGAGCTTGTAGTTATGAGAATTTAAAACACTAGTATTGGAGAACACGTGTCACATTAAATGTGTGTGTGTGTGTGTGTGTGTGTGTGTGTGTGTGTGTGTGGAGGAGGGGTATTGTGTGCGTGTCAGAACTGCCAGTCCTGTGCTGCTCTACTTTCAATCTAATTATTGTAATTATTTGCTGCGATGATGATGATACCACATCTGGCTGTTATGGGAATTAAATTTCATTCAACTAAAATATTATTTCCCACTGTGCTAATTCTTTGTCACCTCTTCCTCTCATAAGCGGCATGCAAATTGAAACTATGTAGCATTGTAGATGTTTCGGATTTTCCCATGTATTCATAATATGCATATAGAGTTTGAATAGGCTACAGTGTGTAGGTCATAGTCAGTTCTTTCACTTTTAACTTTAATAGAAAACATACCGTGACTGCCTATAAATAATTTGTCACATCCTGTCCCATCAGGACAAAATTTCATCTGAACCCTGTTTATCTGCTTTGTGATGCCACAAATGGACCTTAACCTATTTATCTTGATAGCAAATGGGAAAGCACTGGATTCAGTGTATGAGACGAGCTCATCTGAGATCAACCTGGGCCAAATAAGCAGATCAAGTGAAAGCAGATAACTAGCGTCTGGCTGGACGTGTGAAAGGATCAATGCATTTCAGGACAGGAGGAGATGGAAAAGTCAGAGTCTAGTCAATATGAAAAGGATACAGTCGTATTTCATAGCGGTGTAATCCTCTCTTTAGAAAGCTTTTTCGGTTATTAAAATATCACTCTGTCACTTGCTAAAATGAGGCAGTGAATATTTGGTAGTGGAAAGGCCTTTGGTATTGTCTTTATTTAGATTGTGGCTTTGGTCTGTGATCAGATTACCTGCACACTGCCTCTTTATTTTGATTTAGTCCACATAAGCAGAGTCTGAAAAGAAAAACATATCAGATTTTAGACAGATTTATGACACTGGCATTTCAATGTTACGAATAAGTCTGAATCAGCCAAGAGAAATACTAAAAATGGGATGCAATTGATTTTAGAAAAAGTAATTTTTTCTGCGTACTGCATTTTTAAAAATACATTTCTAAATGTTGTTGAATTAATTAGAATGCAGAAACAATAGATTATTTTTACAGCATACATTTCTTCGTCGGCTCAGAATCAAACTACAGAGCAACAAATATAGTGACTAGTTGGGGAACATAGTGGAGCTTTGAGCAGCTAAAGAGCCAGATATTTCCCTCAAGAGAGGGTGGAGACTAAAACAAAGCTAAAAGGACAGTAAACGTTGGACATTTCTCAGTTGAAACATGACTCTAAATGACTTCTAATGTGACGGTTGTCGGGCTGTAAATAGTGTAAATTGGATGTGAAGACTTTCATCATCCACAACTTTTATAAGGTGATACATTGTGTTATTTACAACTTGGTGCGCTGATCCAAAGTGGCCAAAAAACTCAAAGCCCAAAAGAAAATTCATGTGAGTTTAAGTTCATCAGCATCACCAGCATGTCTGTCAATAATATGACTAGAATCAAGGGGTGAAAAACCCAAGATATAGAATAAATGAAATGAAAGTCATTCTTCTTGCTAGTGATTTTGTTAAAGAGCTCACACGTTGGCACATATTTTAAAAACACAGCTCAGGGCCAGGGAGACTTTTCTGCATTTGTGGTTGCTATGAAGTGTGACCATATCACAGAGGAGGTCTTTGAGGGTTTTTTGCAGTTTGACATCCAGGCCCGGCTGTTTCCCTTAGTTCGGCAGAGGTAAACAAGTGATCACCATGCTAAATCATAGCTGGTGAAAGCCCCAGGTCAGGGCTACAGACCTAATCCCTCTGATTCAGAGCTATGACTGCCCTAGTTTGAGAGAGTTGGATAACAGAAATCTAGTGGTCAGTAGGAAGGGTGAAGAATTGATGTCTTGTCCTTCAGCACCATCTTAAAATCAGAAAATCAAGGTTTTGGCTTTAGCTTTTGATATTGCAATAACACAATATTAAAAAACATGAGCCATATTTTCAAACTTCCAAAGTGCAACCTTCAAATTTACCACACACACGTATGCAACATAATGAATGCAATGACTATAACATTTTCGATGCTGTGATTTAGATATCTTTGTTTCTCACACCTCCTTTCCTCCGTCCTTTTCCCATGTCTTTGCTCCTGTAGCTGTAAGTAAATTCTAGTACAGGAGAATCAGGATGAAAAGATGGCAGCCCTGCTGTTACCAACGGGTCCTGATGGCTTGCGGCGGTTCACTCGCGAATCCTTGGCTGCCATGGAGCAGCGGATTGCGGCGGAGCAGGCCAGGAACACCAAGGTTTGCCAGGAGACTCACAGGAACGCAGAGCCACTCAAACCCAGGGCCGACCTGGAGGCAGGCAAGCAGCTGCCACGCATCTTCGGTGACATCCCTCCAGAACTTATCGGGGTGCCACTGGAAGACATTGATCCGTTTTACTACAAGAACCAGAGGGTGAGAGTTCCCATCTTATAGTTCTGTCATAGTTGTATTCACATACAATATATATATATATA